AGTAATAATGCATACCTTAAAAATGCCCAAGTTTTTACAGGTAAATTTTTTTTTGTGTTCCGGATAATATAAGGGTATACATTAATATACATAGGTAGACTCTATAAGTCAGTTTTTGCTTAACTCGGCCAAAATTTTTCAGCCCTTTTTTTGTAAGGCAGCCAACCAGGGCTGGAAATAGTACTTTAAAAATCCGATTTTCCTTTTAAAATTTTTAACTTCCGGAAAAAAAAAGAGTTGCCAGATATTTTTCCTTTTTATTTTTTTTTTTTTTGTAGATTTTCCATATGCATAAAAAAAATTACCAAAATTTAATATATATATATGTCATTACTTCAATATTTTAGAAAAGAACAGCCAGAATCACAATTTTTATCTTTTGAATTTTCAGAAGAAAAGTATTGACTCAATTAATATCTATTTCAAAATATATATTTACATGTTTTATTTTCCCTTATTCAAAAAATAAATTATAAATAAATAATTAGTATAGAACAAGAAGAATTAGATAATTTGACTATATACTGAAATTTGGGAATCAGATATAGAAGATTGAGATGATTTGACAATTCAAGGTTCAGATGATAATGATACTTCAAAAAATCAAATAAAAAAAGAAAAGACAGTGAATTAAGTGTAAACCATGTTAAAATGTCAAATAAAAAAGTGCATTTTAAAAAATCAGGAGGAAGTTTTCAGCATTCAAGGTTCAGATGATGATGATACTTCAAAAAATCAAATAAAAAAAGAAAAGACAGTGAATTAAATGTAAACCATGTTAAAATGTCAAATAAAAAAGTGCATTTTAAAAAATCAGGAGGAAGTTTTCAGCATGAATGGTTAAACATATATAAATGGTTAAAATATGATGCAGCAACAAAGAGAATGTTTTGCACAATTTGTAAAGCACATGGAAAAAAAAATCAATTTGAGGAAAAGGTAACAAATAAATATAATTAATTAATTTTGCATTTTGCAATTATTAATTTACTAATGTTATAATGTTAATATTTAGGATCAAAGAATGCTTCCAAATCTACTGCTCTAGCAACTCATGCACTTTCAAACCAACATAAAGATGCTTTGCTTTTAGAAAAGGCAAGAATAACCATGCAAGAGTCTTCCAAAAAAGCCATTAGTAATGGTAACAAACATATAATTAATATAATGAAAATGATTTACTGGATGGCAAAAGAAGATATCCCAATTTCTAAATTTCCAAGTCTTATTAATCTTGGTCGTGCTCTTCAAGTTCCTGATCTATTTCCTTTAAACAATACTATTTCATATGAAAATAACAAATCTGGACGAGAGTTATTAAAATCAATATCTGAATCTATTGAACTAGTTATTTGGAA